ACGTTTGTTTACTTAGGAACAGTCTTTCCCGTTAGCTAATTTTTGTGCATTTGTAGCGATGATGCACTGTATCTACCAACACTTTTAATAATGGTTTGTGTACCACAGGACTTCGTAATATTTACTTCTACCGCAAGAAGCTCTTGTTGCTAAGGAGGACGAACACATCTGTTTTTTGCTCTCTCTCTCTCTCTCTTTTTGTGTTGATAGGAGAGTAAATATCTTTAAGTTACGAGACATATAGACATAATCTCCAAAAAAATTCTAAGTCAGGATCTAATTTGTGGTCGACACATCTTGGCTATATCCCCGGGCCTGAATTCTCAAGAGCTCTTATGGGAAATATTTTCCCCACGTAACTGAGAACGCATAAAATTTCGCGAAAGTATCACAGTAATTTCACCGCCATTTTGGTTGTATTGTGTTATCAGGCGAACCAACGACCCTTATTGGTTGGTTATGAAGTTGACCGCCGACTCCTCTTATTGGTTGCTTGTCTTATTACTGGCTGGTCCTTCGACACTTCTTATTGGATGCCTGTCTTATTAGTTGGATAGTCGACTCGTCTTATTGGTTACTTGTCTTATCAAGTGGTTCTAGCGCTTCACTATTTTCTGATTACTTTTATAAGGTCAATATTTCTCCGTGACATGTGTATAGGAATGTCATATATATGTCATTCTCTCTCTCTCTCTCTCTCTCTCTCGTTCAAGACTGTCGATTATTTTTCCCAACACGCGCTTTACAAACGCAGCTCCACAAACTGTAAATATGGTTTCCTTTTCAGTCTCCCAATCTCTCTGTCTGTCTAGTCTCTGTTTATCTGTCTATCTATATCCATACACACATCTGTCTTTCTATTATCATCAACATTAGTTATATTTTCTATGTTTTCAATCCCATAACTTTGAATCGATTGCATTAAAAGTCTTCGGTTAGTAAATTAACCTGGGGTCCATGGGCTTCAGTGTATGTCAAGCACAGTATGAGGCAATGAATTTTCAATAAAATAAAGTATATTCATTGCATGCAAAGTTGTGTTTATGTTTTTATGTGCATTTTTCTAGGGAGGGGGTCCATAGCTTTCACCAGATTCTCAAAGGGGTCCGTGACTCAAAACAGGTTAAGAACCACTGGACCGTTAGTTGCTTCCTATCCTAGAGGTCTCTGGATCGCGTCTGAGGCACCCCCAGTCCACCCAGACGTGAAATGGTACCAAACTTTATTTTAGTATTCAGTGTGTTGTATACCCTAACGGGCCATGAAGCCTCTGGTAATCATCTACAGCCGTTGATTGTAGTGATGACATTTATGGGTCATTAAAATTATCTAAAAAAATTGCTCCCCATAGAAAAAAATACCAATTTAAGTCCATTTGTATCACGTGATAAACGCGCGGTTCTGAAATTATGGCTTTCGACATTTTAATATTTGTAGAGTGGAACCTAGCCGAAACTTGATCGTCTGTGGCTGAAAAATAAAATAAACAACTAATGTAACACATTTTTTGTAGTAATATCACCATAAAAGTGTCGACTCATCAATTTGTGTACTTATGTGTGCAAAAAGGATATAAAGAATAAATAAAAAAATAAAATAGAGTGAAATAAAATATTAAACTAAGTCTTGATTGTATATACAGTATATACCTATTGTACAATTCCTTGTTTTGTTGATGTTATTGTTTCCATGATCTTGTGTAATACAGTATGTCGTTTACTTAAACAAAACATTATCTAAAAGACTTTTTAACTCCTTGCATAATTGAAGGCCAATTCCTTGATTAGTTGGTCGTAATGTTACACTCACTCACCCACCAATTGTTCTGCTTTTCTCGTGTTTTGCATTAATAATGAACCCGTCACTAACACTCACCGTACTTACTGTACCAGTCATTATCACAAGCAAGATAGGGTTATCAGAGAAACACATAGTTACAAATATTTATTATAATTCTCTGTATATTTTCATACACAACTATAACTCCATATTATGTGATAGCTGTTTTTACATAAATAGAGAACTCAACGGAGACACTAAGTCTTTTTTTTTCATGTAAAGAGTTTTCGAAAATTCTCTACCCAAAGAGAAGGACATTGGTCAGTATATGTTATTAGACGGTGTTGTATGTTTTGTATTCGTGTGAGTATGCGTGTATTGCGTGTTTGTGTTGAGTATGTGTGTGTGTGTGTGTGTGTACTCTGGGTATTTGTGTTGAGTACTGCGTGTGTTGTGTATGTATTGCGTGTATTTTGTGAGCATGTGTGTACTGTGTGTGTTTGTATGCATCTCTTATCTGATCGTTTGAATGTATACATGTTGTATATGTAACTGTGGTGTTGTCATGTATACGTACGTTTATGAAGACATTTGTGTGTGTGTGTGTGTGTGTGTGTGGTGGAGGTATTGCTTATGCACGTGTCTGTGTGTGTCTGTGTAACATTTTTCCCCTTCAGGTAGACATTTCTCGGACTCCCCTGCAGATCATTGTCCATCTTTGCTCAAGACATAGAACATAGAGAGCATTCTGGTCAATACATTGGAAACCTTTTGTTGTTTATTTTACAGAATAAAATAATTTGTTGTGAGCAGATTGAAGAGCTCACACAGACAACACTCCATCACACTACCAACACACTGAAAGGTCGTCAAACTTCCATATCGTCACATTTGAGACATTGTCACTCCAATACATCGTCACACTAACACGTGATGACTCACGTTGTATTACAAACACATCCCTAATAACACGTCGTCACACTGGCACACTCCCACATCATCCTACTTACTCGTCGTTAAACTGTCACGTCGTCAGAATCATATAGTAGTCGTATAGTAACACTAAAACGTTGTTACATTCATATCTTCTTACTGGCACATTGTCACACAAACATGCCTTACGCTAATGCAGTCACACACACACACACACACACACACACACACACACACACACACACACACACACACACACCATCATCATCCTAATTACACGTCGCCACATACGTGGTCGTACAGACACGTCGACTTATTAACACGTTGTCTCACATGTCACCTTAAAACGTCCTTACACTAACAAATCGTCGCTCTAACTTGTCGTAACGTGTAACTATTGACACACTAAGGCCATCACACTTGTATCTTGTCACACTAATACGTCGCTACACCAATATCTCATCACGATAAAACTTCGGCATTCATATTGTCACACTAATCAGTCGCCTCTGGTGTGCTCTGGGCGCCAGCATCGTCACCCGAAGGTGTCCACCTCATTACACACTGTACACAGTGTGTGGTCAAAACCATCACTCTGGGAGCATGTATAGTACTGCACACGGTGTAGATGTGTCTGTCACATTACGGCGTGTAGCCTACACCTTTGAACAGAGCGACGTGGTAGAGCACCTCTCTGTATATTGCACGGACAAGTGAGATGTTCTCTGGCCACGTTAAGATGTGTTCAGTGTGTGTCTGTGAGTTAAAGTGTAATCAGTTATGTCGTGAACATGCGAGTAAGGAAGCCAGTGACCTGATGAACTGAAGATTTGACGTCCTGGCTCGCCTGAGATCTAATATATATACAGGTATATATATATATATATATATATATATATATATATATATATATATATATATATATATATATATATATATATAACAAATTACAAAGGGAAACAGAAGGATCCAAGCACTTCTCGTGGTTTTGTCTGCAAATGTGTTTTGTGTGTGTGTGTGTGTGTGTGTGTGTGTGTGTGTGTGTGTGTGTGTGTGTGTGTGTGTGTGTGTGTGTGTGTGTGTGGGTGTGTGTGGGTGTGTGTGTGTGGTGTGTGGGTAATGTAAGACACTTGTTAAATACACTGGGAAACTCAAATACCTAACGTTCATTATGTAAGTTATACTGGTGGTTACTTAACAGTAATCTGTAGACAAAAATAAATATAAACTTTCAAGTAACAAAGTTTCCATTATTTAGTAAAAAAAATATGGTACGAAGATTTTGATTTTAACTGACGTCTGTCACCGTCGAACACATACCAAAATCTTTAGGTCTACTGAGAACAACCAACACAGTAACACATAATACAACGATTTATATATATTTATATGTATTTATATTCTAGATATATGATATACAACAGAAATGACAAAAAAAAATACAATTTAGGTAGCTGATTTATATACATATTATACTCTGAACTTCACCTGATTAATATGTCTTCGGTATTTGTTTGTTTACCAATCAACCTCAACATACACGTCCTGACACCCCTACCATCCTCAGCAGTCATACTAAACATTAACAACATTAGTGTTTCAATATTCATCATTGATATTCAAGTGGAAATAAAACTGAGAGGAATAAGGTGTAGACAGGGATGTAAGCATATTTGTCCCCCTGGCGGCCTTGTATTGTCATATCAAAAGTTAATACCTAATACCATGAGCAAAAACCATTAAGTACTTTTGGTTATGAATCAGTAATATTTTTCATGGAATATTATGTCTATGTCCCGAAGACAAACATTCTTAAATTAATAAAAAAAATGCAGTAAGGAACATTCTGACAACTTTCATTTATCAAAATGTTAACCGAGCGTTATAATATAAGCTTCTGGTGTGTTGATAGAAACGAAGGAATATTTCATTATTAAGAAGAGTGGCTGTCGGGGCTCTGACTAACGATATCAAATTTTTAGTGTCTTCATGTCGGGTTAATTGTGTCTGGGATCTCAGTGAAGGATTCTTATTGTTTACATTTTTGATGTGCAGAAAAAACTCGTACCGCGCACTGTTAATATTAATGCGACTATTGAATGTCAGTCAAAGATTAGTTTTGCGTGTGAAGTGAAGATTTCTTTCAGGCCCCGATCCTCAGTTAGCCGATAACTATCATTTCAGTATAATCAGACCAGGGTTGTGTTTGTGATATTCAGAAGTGCTTTTTCCCAGCATTATCCAAATGTTCCCCAGGATGATTAAAACAGGGATTTAAATCGGGTGATCTTGATTTTTTTCCCAGGATGAGCCAAAACATAATGTCATTTGGTTTACTATATACCCAGAATAATATTCCACCAAATTCGTTTAAAGAGGAATACGAGAGTCCCAGGTATATTCCTAACCTTTCCAAGGCTTAATTCTAATGTAAATAGACAGTCGTATTCTTATTATATACTTAAATACAGTGACTATTTTTGACTGTCCGTATGACAAAAACGTTGTTGTCATCCTGGTGTGTAGAGTCTGTGAACAAGTGACATCCAGAAAGCCAACGTATGTTTTTTGAATATTTGTCAAGGATATTAATGAATATATTACGTCAGTATAGTTGTTTGAGGGAGGATTAAATGTCTTAGTCTACATCTGTTTTCATAAATAGCAAATAATTACCCTTTGAAGTTGTGTTATTCTTTTTTTAGATAATCTCTTAGTTGATTTTCATGAGCTACATTAGAATATGAAGACATTTTAAACACAAGTTGTATTCCTATGCATTGCTCCACGTTTGTGTTCCTCCGCGCTGGTTAGTGTTCTACTGTCATAAAGCAATATATAGGTAACAGACACACGTCAATGTTGTAAACACACACACACACACACACACACACACACACACACACACACACACACACAGATCAAATGCCTTATAGTCTCCTGCAATTGTTCAACCACTCCAACAATTATTTTTTACAATATTACAAAAATCTCTTGATTTCTTCTGTTTATATCTATACTAAGTTCAAGAGGAAAAGCTTTAAAACACAAATTACATCCTAAACAGGAAATTTACATGAGCATTTACGAAAATATATAGTTCCAGTCTGGTTAATAGCTAAATTACATGTAAGACTTCCACAGGAAAGAAGGGGGTAAAAATTACGTAGGCAAGACCACGCTCCACCCAGGGTCTTGGCACTCTGGTCGGTGCTGCATATGACGTTCTGGTTGGCATCATTCACGACCTGTGTAGCATGTTGTGGCGTCCATGTTGTAAGTAATTACACTCTAGATGGAAGTGTTTATTTTTCAAATGATCCTGTGAATATATAAAAATTCTTCACATTCCAGTATTTCTCTTCCTTGAGTGAAGATTACGAGTATTTGACTGATTGCATTTTTTGCCTTAAGTTCTTCAAAGATGTACCGAATTCTCCAAGTCTGGAAATTATATTATACACGTCACACTCAATGTTTTCTGGAGAACAGGTGATGATGGTGACGATGACAGTCGTGTGGTGGCAGGAAGTTCAAAAGCTGTGAGAAGGACCAGGGAAACACAATGTTTTCGTCTTTCCCGGTAATCTCCCTTTACTAGACTCACGTTCACACATACACCAAAAAAGCATGATAATGTTGAACTGAATACCGTCTGCTTTGTACCAAGTTTGTATTCGATTTGTCTTTTAAGGTAAGCTTTCCTCCACTCCTGGTACTTATTTTAAACGCTATTTGATTAATCAAACACAAAATGGCTGTATTTTCATCCATGGTTATGAACTTGCCACTGGGTCCTTGTCACAAGGTCACGTGAATAAGTTGTCTTGCGTTTACTGCTATTAACGCACTTAACTGTCTTGGGGGAGGGGAAAGTCCCTTGCACTTACGCCCACTCACAAGCACACTCTTACTGTGCTTCAGAGTCACTATATAGACACAAACACAAAACTCAAACTCCGCCCGTTTCTTTGTTTCTTCTTGAAACTCAAGACAAAATACCACTTGGCTGTGGCCCCAGTGGTGATTAACATTGAAATCAAGGAATTTCGTGGAAATTAAATGATATGCCCGAATTCGGATATGTACAACTACTCGGAATATCATAAATAATAAAAAAAAACTGCCGATTTATTTTTCACGAACAAACAGTGATCAGGTCTCGGCTTTTGCGCTTATCACAACGCACTTTGCTTTATCACCAAACATTGTTTCGAGGCTGAACCACTAGTTTCATATTGAGGTACTGCTTAAAGCTTTAGCTATACATTATATATAAACAATACCACACGCCGCTGATAATACCAAGAGGCATGAGGTGACCTACACACTAAATGACCGACAGTTCAGTTTGTGGGGAAGCTACTTCACAATGGTCCGCCTTAATTTCTAGTGGTGGCCCAGGAGGAGAGGGAAGTTGGGGATGACTCTTATCGAGCGGTGAGGAAGAGGAGCAATGTGAGTAGGTGGAGGAGGAACGAGAGGCCTCCAGAGGTTCATCTGACGGAGACGACGTAAGTGAGAGAAGCGCACACCAACGCCAGCGCCGTGTCGTGCACAGTTACGCTACCTGAGTCTATCCGCTGCACCGCCGCCGTCTTGTCTCCTGTGTGAGAAGGTCACGTGAGACACTTAAAGTAAATACAGAAAGCGAACTAAACCCAAAATTACAGAATCATAACAAATCAATAATGTAATTGTGTGTGTGTGTTAAGATTACAGCCAATAATGCCAGGTAATTTTATACAACAACAGACACAGTTTTAGCTCATATTGTGAAGCTTCAGGTGGTCAACATCGCTTCATCGACCTCACAACCACAACACTACAGACCGTAAACTGAAGCTCGATGAAACGCTCTTATATACATCTTCTACTAATGTCACTTGAAAATTAAGTGTGATTCTATACTCAGTTCTTATCTTTGTTTATTGATAAGCTATACTGCTACTATTACTACCACCACCACTACTACTACTACTACTACTACTACTACTACTACTACTACTACTACTAATAATAATAATAATAATAATAATAATAATAATAATAATAATAATAATACAATTATAATTCAGTTATTGAAAAATAAAAAACACTTATTAATAATAATAATATTATTATTATCATTATTAAACTCCAGGGTGTTTACAAAGCTCAGCCTCTTCCTACCAGACGTCAAGTTTTACAAGGTGATTGTTGTTAGGGTGAGACTTATCAGGATTGAAAACCATCTGACTAGTCACCACTTAAGGTACCTCGCTGCCATGTTTACTAATTTACCTTCAGTGACAAAGACCATGGTGGAGGCGGGGCGGGTGTTGGCTGCCTCGCAGGTGTAGTTGCCGGAATGCTTGTCGCTGGCACTGTTCACTTCCAGGCGACTCACCGAACTGGCGCTGCCCTTCCTGCTCTCCTCAAGGTTGATAGTGACCTCAGGGCGGTCATGCAAATAGTTGAGTAGTTGGTCATTATGGTACCACAACACGTACTGCGGTGGTGTCGGGCTCTGAGGACACGACAAGATATATCTTATTAGTTTACCTTCTTCAAGAGGAAAATATTTCTTCTTTTTTACACTCACGTCTCAAGTGACTACCGGCCATAGGATATCACTCAGATAATCCCATGTTAACTCACTGCACACTTTTGGTATACAGTATATGTGCACTACAAATTAAAAAATATATATGCTCCAGGAGGTAACAACCTTATTAAACAATAAACTGTTTAAAAGATACCATAGTTTAGATATCATATGGTAAACAATACCTCCAAGGATAGCTCAAGAAAGCCATTAGAAGTCTTTTTCAATGAAACAATAGTGCCATTGTGTGTTGTTCCTCCAGGAAAATGAAAACGGTTAAAAATATTAGCAAAGAAAAGTAAGTCGCTTGGGAAACTTTTTTTTCAGTAAGGACGAGTAAGACCAATAATTATATGAGTCACCTTCTGCACTGTACTGTATTGTACTGTATTCCAATCGTCTAGGAGCGTCGTGTCTCCATCATCAGTTATTATAAAACTAAAAAGTCGATTTTTAAAAAAAATTTTCCAATCGTTTGATCTGTTATATTAAATAGTTTTGCTAAAATATCTATTTACTCAAATTGTATAAATAATACAAAATATTTAGAACTTCAAAGTGAGAATACGTCTCATAACCATGACTGTCCATTAGGGTTAATATATATATATATATATATATATATATATATATATATATATATATATATATATATATATATATATATATGCAAGTAAATCACTGTAGGTGCGTGATCTAGGTATATGCTGATAACCACAAGGAAAGAAAACACGAAGTTATTAGTATATATATATATATATATATATATATATATATATATATATATATATATATATATATATATATATATATATATGCCAAGACTAGCTTTTATTTCCCAATGTCACAGTTTAATTTTTATAAGTACTGATGATGGTTATCAAAAGTCTCTGCATCATTTTAAAATAGAGATGTCTCGTCGGTTCATTGTTTGGTTTGACTCCAATACCTCAACCAACATCTCTGTTTCAAAACCATTATCAGTTGACCGATAAGAACATTTTCACGTAGACAGTATTTAGAGAGAACCAATTGGGATTATTTACTCTCTGGTCTAGCGGTAAGGATCTTGAGACGAGTGACAAGTCTCAGACATGTAAGAATCAACAGATGTGTGAAGATCCTCGAGTCAAAGATGCGCCTTGTCGGTAAAGCTTACTTTTTCATACTCTTTTCCTTTTGATTAGTTTATTTTTTTAGGACACTGTTTGGCTGCATTTACTGCAGAAGGTGAGAGCAACATGTCAGAGAAAATAGGATGAAATGACAATTAAAAACTAATTTGCAATTTGCTTCCAAACCAAAACATGCTTTATTCCAACAGACTCAATTTCTGACGTTGATTGAGTCCAATATTAACAAATGTGTGCAGCTTCTGTCTTAAAATATCCCAGATTGTTGGCCTGGTAGCTCCTCAATGTCATTTAGTAAACAAAACATGTACGGGTCGACCCGGTGGTTAAATGACTTATCTCAGGAAAGGGTAATTATGCGCTTCGGATAATTTCATGGAATGGTTAAATGGTTAAATGAGGTTAGATCAGGCTTATTGAATTGTATTGAGTAAATGAACAAAATATTCGGTATCAGCTTGAGAGTGTAATATAAGTCAGTAGCACGCAGGGGGAGCGAGTGTTATAGATACTATATTTTATACACTGACTCCCTCATGTTTACAGCAATGGAGCTTTAATACATCATTAACTCATGCTATTTCTTAAATGAAAATGATACGAACGAAAAAAAAAGCGTTATTTGCTTAAAGATTTTTTGTGGGGGTTAGGTGTTTTGCCAGAATAAATGCATCACATGAAGCCCAACCGTATCACTGGTCTAATATTTTTTTCTCCGACAGAATAGAAAATTATCCTGGGGAAAATCATATTTCTGGAGCGTGATGGAGTCATTAGTGCACATGGCAGTCAATGACGGACAGGTAATGAAAGCAATGAGGGTCTACCTAGTCACAGATGGGAGTTGTGAGGATGTTGGGAAGATGTGGGTGCCTTAGCAGAGATCATTTATAACATATCACCTAAAATTATGATTACAGTTGACACACCTGTTCTACTAATGACCATACCTGGTCCAGTCTTACGTACAATGTTCAGGCTTTTACTTGGGCGATACATAGAGAACTACTTGAGTTATTTTTTATGTTGCACACGTGTCTAACCTGACCTAATTAGTGACAGGAAAATACCGGAATTAATCTTAATGATATGTATAACTGTTCTTGCTGCACATGGAATATCAGCAAGTCTGATTTTCCTGTGTATCTGAACCTTTTTGGTGTTCCCTGGTCAGACCTCATACCCGGAGGTGTGCCTTATCGGTGTACTTTGCTAAAACCTTGAAAGACGTGGAAGAAAGATTGACCTCGTAATTTTTACCATGCGCACAACACTGAGCTAGCAAGCATTATTAAAGGGTGGGTTCTCACCTTGTCGATGATGCAGGTGAGTGTAATGGGAGAGCCACGGTTGACATGGTACTGGCCGTGGCCGGGAATGTGGGCCTCAGGCGTTACTACCTCCAGGTTCACGAACAAGGAGATGATACCCGTGCCCGTGGACACTTGACACTCATAAGTGCCGTTGTCCGTCACGTCCACGAACTTGATGTGCAGCGTCCAGTCTTGGGTGCCGGCCACGTGTAGAACAGAGAAGCGACGGTCAAGCGTGTAGAGGACCTCGGCTGAAGTCAGTACACTCCAGTCCCGCCGTCGAATCCATGAGATCTGTAGTAGAGAAACAGATAGTTACAGTGGTGTCGTTGTTTCTCTGTTTACTCTCACCTATTGATAGTTTTTACTTAGACTTTAAGTATAATCTAAGTCAAGGCATCACCATTATGACACTATCACCACATGGAAGTCATATAAATGTGTGCTTATATTGGTATTTATTTATAACGATTTATTTTTAATTCAATCCAGTAATAATGTGATTTACTCTTAACACTAACTTGATGACAGATCAGCTATATGACTATGTGTGATAAAAGGGTTTTTCAGCTTTTGCTTTAGGGTGTCGTGAAAGTTCAACCTAATAAGTAATTAAAACATTTATATTGTGTGAAAGAAAAGTAAAAAACAAAAAAAGAATAAAATATGAATTGGTAAATGCATAAATAAACAAAATAAACAAGCAAATTCATAATATTTTTTCCTTATATCTGATGATATTCTCTCCAAGGATTAGCGAGAAGATATAGCGCTCGGGCCACCCCTAGTCAACCCAACTGTAAGTGGGTACCTGACTTAGGGAAGTGGAGGTAATCGAGTATAATGTAGGGTCACTCTGTGTGCCAAGGCTCAGTGTTCAGTGTATTGTATATATCCCTTGTGTTGAAAGCGTGTCATTGGGCTTATTTGAATTTCTTTCATAAGCACAGGTGTTGCTCCTCCATATATGTCGTTTTAATAGGTCTCTCTCTCATCATGTCCTGGTATAGTTAAGGATAAAAATAGTTGTTTATCATCGTAAAAGTCTCCTACTCTCTGACAGGTCACTCACTGGCTTCCGGACTTCCTTTGTATTGTTCTGTCATATACTGATGTCCTCCATTAGACCTGCCACACACACACACACACACACACACACACACACACACACACACACACACACACACACATACACACATACAGTTTTTAGCCTCATTTCGAGCAAATATATGTATTTGAATTTTAGGTCAGGTCGCCCCCTCCCCCTCTGTCACACACTACAGCTGAAAAATATTTTGTCAGAATCTTACATGTAAAACCTGTTTCAAAATGCTGTGGCTTTCTCCCATAGTTATTGATCAGCTGACTAAGTTGTCTGACGTAATCAATTCGTAAATTTTCATCATGTCGAGTATTGATATTTTTAACTATTTGGATATAATAATGTCTATTGGTTTATCAATAATAAATCCCGAGGTTTATTGCAATATCGAAGTATAGGCAACATTGTCATCTTAATGGACGCGAATTTTATCTATATTCTTACAGTCACTCTGGAGGTTCAAGCAGAATAATATACACTATTAAGAAGTGTTTCGTTCTTACAGTACAGAGACAATAAACAATTAACTCTAGAGAAATAAAACAAAATAAGGTAACACTAAACAATAATGTCCTGCCACTTCTTGTTCAATAGAAAACTGAACGAGGTTTTTTACAGTTGTTCCCATGAATAAAAATAAAGCATTTCGTATTTACTGAGTTATTATACGACCCTTACCATAGTGTGTGTGTGTGTGTGTGTGTGTGTTTGTGTGTGTGTGTGTGTGTGACACACTATTAAACTATTTCAAACGTAAAAAAAGATAATTATAAGCTGCCTCTCAACACAGTTGTTGTTGCCATGACGTCATAAACTCCCCTGACCTACATCTGACAGGTCACTAAGATCCCTGATTCTAGTCGGCCTTTGTTTACCCAACATCAAATATTGATGTCATTCAGCGCCATTGCCAGACACCACCAAAGCTATTTAGATATAATTTAGCTCTTGTCATATTAAGAAAAATAATAAATATTGTTCAGTAAAATATAATACAAGTGTAGCGAACCTAGGTAGAGTGAGTGTAAGTTCCGCCTCTCTCAGCACCACCTCCACCTCACACGTTCATCCATCACCCACAAAAACGGAATTAAACGTCAATCTCCGGGAATGGTTCGGTCAGGTCCTGTCATGCAAGGTCCGCATTAACAAAAAAGAAGAAAACTTTATCTTAGATATTTATATAAGCTGATCACGACGCCTGTTCCACTTAATACTTCCTCTTCAGTAAGATTTGATCGTAATTGCAGTAATGCCAGAGAGAGCACACCAGATGATGGCCAGATTCTTTGTGACAATATTAATTATAATACATTTTATATCAGAACAAATAAATAAAAATATAAAATTTAATAGATTAAAGTACAAATTATACTTGAAGATAAACGATAATTGAAAAAAGAAGATATATATACGATTTTTGTAATAAGAATATATTCAAGAGTTATCGAAAATATACGGTGTATCACCCCAGGTAATGTTCTTCATCGGTTCAGACCAAGAGCACAGTTATCAGGGAAGAATTGATCAAAGTCTGACCTTCAAGTATCGATACTTTCTGAACGTGAAGAGATCTGATATAAGTTTCGACAAATACATATCTCTTCTAGGATAAAAAAGACAAAGCAAAGAAAACAAGACGAGAGAGAGAGAAACAAAGAGGTAAACACTACCGGAAAGACAGCCAGAAAAGGAAGAAGGGAATACAGAACATAAAAAAGACACCATTTCCAGTATTTTACGTGACTGACATATCATCAGCACCCCCACCATTCCCCCACTCCTCTCCCCTCTCCATCTCCCTCACTCCCTTCCCTTCCTCTCACCCCCTTCTCATCCCCCGCCCATCCCCTCCCCCGCCCATCCCCTCCCCACCCATCCTCTCCCTCGACTCTCTCCTTGCTGTGGTCGGGAGGATGGGAAAGAGTAGCGTACCCACCTGTCTGTCGCCCAGGTGGCCCACTCTACAGGGGAGGAAGGCGGCGCCCCCCAGCTGCGCCGTCACGTTAGACACCGTGTTATTGATGGCCGCGGACTCGTGCGCCGCCCCCTGGTAGGTCAATGCCCATCGTGACCCGGCACCTCCTATCCCATGACTCGTCTTGTGGGGTTCCTCCGTCACCCGGTTCCTGTATGGGAGAAAAGAGGAGCAGGTGTTCAGGGTTAATTAAAGTTTACCTCCTGAAGACTCTACATCGCTTGGCAGTCTAAAGTCTTTTCTAGTGTACTGTATATATAAAAGCGATGTCCTGATTCTCAGAGGTTCTTACGTTAATTTTTCCCCGAAATGGAGATGTGAGAATGAATTATTTATATATATATATATATATATATATATATATATATATATATATATATATATATATATATATATATATATATATATATATATATATATATGTCAGTCAGTCAGTCAGTCAGTCAGTCAGTCAGTCAAGAGAGAGAGAGAGAGAGAGAGAGAGAGAGAGAGAGAGAGGTGAAGTGAATGTCTGACTAACCCGTTGAGGGAGTTGTCGAGGACGTGGCTGTGGGCGACGAGGTTGTGTGGGCGTGTGTGGTGGTCGCCTCGGTGGTGGGTGTGGCCGCGGCTACTGTGTTCCTGCTGGGTCTCGAAGAACCGTCGGTCGTGGTGCCTGTGTCGCCGGTGACGCCCGTGGAGAGCTGAGGGTGACGGTACATGTGAGTCTTGAAGCCAGTAAAAAAAAAAAAAAACCCAGAAACTATGGAGATAATAAAGCCATAATTGTTTCAACTTATCTCCTGGTAGCGCGCGTATCTGTTCATAAACTGGAAGTGCAAAATCGTAACTATCACGACTTTATCTTGTAGTTTACATGCAAGTCCATCAAGTAGGAGGACACACTCGGATTTGTGTAGTAATATAACAACCAAGACAACGTCGTTAGGAAGGAAAGTATTCATATACTACCCAGGCTAAGTCGTAAAATATAAACTTCACGTCCTTTCATCCCAGAATCTCAAACACTAAAAAAACAAAAAAAACAAGACCTGTGACGAAAAAATAAAATCCAAACAACAATCAGAGTTTACAAGTGTCATCTGCTAATCTAAGGATGCATATAAACAAGCCCACCAAGTCTTACGGCTCTAGACCACCATCAGTCGTGCGTAATCTTTCTAAATGAAAAAAAAAAAATAAATAAATAAAATAAACATTCTGAAAATATATAAATGTCATCTACTGTGTGTATGTAGATAAGCTTATAATACTGCATAATTCTGCACTGAAAATGTATTACGTAATCTTGCAAAATAAGCTTGGTGGTACTACGGGTAGATGACGGACGGACGGATGCTAAGTACGTATATTCCTTTACATACTGTACGTACTGAAAGTAAAAAAAAAAAGAAATCCCCAAGGTACCACAAATTCCCACAAAGTACTACAAAAAATTTTCCCCACAGTAACACGAAATTTCCCCACAGTACCACGAAATTTCCCCACAGTACCATAAATAAGTAGAAGCAGTCAAACACAAAAGAGGGAAGAAACTGTGATACGGGAGGACTTGAAAGAGGGTCAGTAAAGTGGAGAGGAATCGATCATTGCAAGTACTGAAGGAGTCGTGTGTGGAGGTGACCAGGAGATAGAGAGATAGGGAGAAGTATGGGTAGAGGGGAAAGGAGAAGTAGGAAGGAGGAAAGAATAAAGGGGTATAGGAGCATAAGAGTTGACGTAACTAGATGGGAGGGGGGGGGTAGGTAGAGAAGGAGGAGGGAAAGAGTAGATGTGGGTGGTAAAGGGGAAGGAGGAAACATATATGAGGGAAGAGGAGAGAGAAGAGAGGAAGAGGGAAGTGGGGGAGAGAGGACAAGCGAGGAGGGTGGTAGGTGGAGCTATGTTGAAGTGTCAGGGAGAGGAAGGATAACAGAGAAGTATGAAGAGAAGGAGAAGGACAAGAAGTGGAGAGAGATGGTAGTGAGGAGGATGAGAGAGAGAGAGAGAGAGAGAGAGAGAGAGAGAGAGAGAGAGAGAGAGAGAGAGAGAGAGAGAGAGAGAGAGAGAGAGAGAGAGAGAGAGAGAGAGAGAGAGAGAGAGAGAGAGAGAGAGAGAGAGAGAGAGAGAGAGAGAGAGAGAGAGAGAGAGAGAGAGAGAGAGAGAGAGAGAGAGAGAGAGAGAGAGAGAGAGAGAGAGAGAGAGAGAGAGAGAGAGAGAGAGAGAGAGAGAGAGAGAGAGAGAGAGAGAGAGAGAGAGAGAGAGAGAGAGAGAGAGAGAGAGAGAGAGAGAGAGAGAGAGAGAGAGAGAGAGAGAGAGAGAGAGAGAGAGAGAGAGACTCTGCCTTTTTTACCTGCCCCACATCGCCACCTCTCACCCGCCTCTCCCCGCTCCTCCCCACTACTCCCTCCCGTGTATTGATTGATCATTACCCCCGCCCCCGCCCCCCGCACCACTACCACTCCCTCTACTGCAACCATCAGCTCTACCTGTCAGCGAACACTCACACGCTAACTGATTTTACCACCTCAACTATACAAAAATTTATTTGTGACAATACAATACAAGTATATAAAATAGACAGACAGACAACAAAGAATTTTATGGCAATATAACATCGATAAAATATATGTCAGACACACACAGAACACCGTATATTGACCTCAGTACGACCTGAAATAAAATACAGGTAGGATAGAACAGCCCAAATAAAAGGTGTCTTCGACCCCCCGAGAAAAAGTAACAAAGATTCTCATGCTGTATGAAATTGGCTACAGAAAACTATATAAGTATGAGAGGAAATTACCAAACATAGTATAGTTCTGGGTGCAACTCAGTAAGTCTATACTTAAACCATTTAAATATTAAGCGAATCATATTTTCAGACCCCGGCTTGGTAAGAGAGAGATCTCCTGCCCCCACTTCAGTTGTACAAAATAAAGATACTGTAGTTCCACCGATTGATCATAAAACTCAATATTAATATATGGAGAGCCTTAAACTTTGAAGTTATTACTCAAAGAATATGAACAAAAAAAAATAAACCTTTGGGGAAGAAGACTCACAAACTTTAATTTTCAAGTTGTGAAAGAAAAGAGAGAAAAATTGGAAAGTTGTCTGGGGAGAAAAAAAAAGCCGGAAGTTAGGGAAGAAAGCTAGAGGTTCGAGAGTCCTCCACGACCACTCACCGTGGGCGTGGAGGATGAGACAGGGCAGGACATAAGGATGTAGGGAACTTACCGTGGGCGTGGAGGACGAGGCAGGGCAGGACATAAGGATGTAGGGAACTTACCGTGGGCGTGGAGGACGAGACAGGGAAGGACATAAGGATGTAGGCAGGGAAGGACATAAGGATGTAGGGAACTTACCGTGGGCGTGGAGGACGAGGCAGGGCAGGACATAAGGATGTAGGGAACTTACTGCAAGGGAGGACGAGGGGGCAGGGCAGGACATAAGGATGTAGGGAACTTACTGGCGTGGAGGGACGAGGCAGGCAGGACATAAGGATGTAGGGAACTTACCGTGGGCGTGGAGGACGAGACAGGGCAGGACATAAGGATGTAGGGAACTTACCGTGGGCGTGGAGGACGAGGCAGGGCAGGACATAAGGATGTAGGGCACTTACCGTGGGCGTGGAGGACGAGGCAGGGCAGGACGCACAGCAACAACAGCAGTGTGGTCGACGAGCTCCTCATCCTGTAGGTGGTGGAAGAGAGAACAATAATAACAATGTAATTAAGATATATAAGTGGACCCCCGCATTAGTTTTTTTTCCTATGTGCGCCTCAATTTGGTCAAGGATAGTGAAGTGGAGACAGTGAAGATTGTGTAGTGGATGTAGTGGATATAGTATGGATAGTGTAGTGGATATAGTGTTAGCTGATAGTGCAGTCACGGCTAGGGACTGCCTCTGCAAAGACAACCCCAAAGAAACATGTAAACAAGTAGGCAACCAACAACAATCAACCCCCACCCCCCCTCCCACACACACACAAACAAACAAACACTCCCTCTAATGACGGTACAAACACTAACAAACGCCCGAGACGTCAACACACGAGTGAGGTCTTGTTCATTACTGTGTCGACTGTCTGTAAACCCTGTCTTACTGTTGGTCGAGAGATGTACAGTACTTCACGTGTTGGTCGTGTGTGAGGGAGGGAGGGGGGAGATGGGGTACCGACTAGGAGAGAGAGAGAGAGAGAGAGAGAGAGAGAGAGAGAGAGAGAGAGAGAGAGAGAGAGAGATTGTGTGTGTATGTAAAAATAATACGGAAGGAGCCAGGTACGACGAATAAATGTTATTTTATAAATGAATGATAATTAATAAGGAAAAAATATTACCGTTATATTTTCCACATCAGTCCACCTCCCGTCTCAGGTACACATTAATGAGGGGTCGACCTTACTCCCCTCACCTTCACGACCAAACCACAACACCATCTATCACGGCGACCCACAAGTTCCCCCTCTATGTAATATATCACGTTATATTGGCCACCTCTCACCCACTCCCCCTCACCTGCCACCCAATCCCCCTCATCTGCCATCCACTGCCCCTACCTGTCACCCACTGCCCTCTACTCTTACAGGCCCCTCACCCTCTGCCCTTCATAACTACACCTTTCACCTTCACCCCCTTTCCCCTCACTATGACCACCCTTTTCCTCTCACCATCGCCCTCTTCCCCTCACCACCGCACTTGCCCTCATCACCGCACTTGCCCTCACCACCACCCTCTCCCCTAACCACCACCCTCTCCCCTCACCACCACCCTTTCCCCTCACCACCACCCTCTCCCCTCACCACCGCACTTGCCCTCACCACCACCCTCACCACCACCCCTCCCTCACCACCACACTTCCCTCACCACCACCTCTCCCTCACCACCACCCTCTCCTCACCACCACCCTCTCCTCACCACCACACCTCTCTCACCACCACCTCTTTCCTCACCACCACCCTCTCCTCACCACCACCTCCCTCACCACCACCTCCCTCACCACCACCCTCTCCCCTCACCACCACCCTCTCCCCTCACCACCACCTTCACCTCTTACACATCACAGGTGCCGCCCAACACCAAGTATTGATTAGTGTCGCCCCTAAGTAGTTAAGTCAGTGGTGTAAGAATGTCTCTCTCTATAGATTTCTCTCGTAATTCCCGGAACTTGCACGAAGAAGAAATTACAAGGTAAAATTCTATCGAAATGAAATATCACACGTGTCCATCTGTAGACTCAAGGTTACTTAATTAGAGAAATAAAGAACGAATTTGTCTTTTCCTTTCGATTTTTCATTATTATTTTTGAAGCAATATCAAAGCATGGGAGTGAGTCTTTCATATTGGGAAATAAAAGTTCCACCCTTTCATAACGTCTTTACTTCTGATCCCTGGAACGTCACTGATACTGGGGATACCATTTGGTATTAATTCTGATAATATTTCCTTGAAGTAATACAAATAACTACAGTATGAGGATTACGAATGAAAAAGATGATTTTATTCCACTAAAACTGACACCTCAACCCATCCTGTTGCGTACTATTTTATATCGATTCTATTTTGTCTTTATTATCGGAATCGTCATCGTTAAAGTCTGTGAGGGAATATTTGGTTAAAGTCTGTGAGGGAATATTTGGTTAAAGTCTGTGAGGGAATATTTGATCCAGTGTGGGGAGACATACACTCAGGCAGACTTAATTAGGATAGCAGGAGATGGGGGATATAATTTGTTCATGTATTCTTGTCGTTATTGGAACTTATTTATACAACCGTAAGGCCTGAGAATTTCATTACCATTTATTATGTGGAGTAAATGTATCGCCCACCCACCTGTTGCTGCCATTAAGAGCGAGAATATCAACCTTATGAACGAGCATGTGATTCCTTTCAACTAATAGTTATAGTCACTTCCATTATACATCCAATTAATAAGTAATTAATTCCATGTTACGAGTATATTGATCGTATAATGTATACCTAATGTCTATATACATTACCATAAAAACAAGGGGAGGTCTACTAATGACTTTGACAGTAGGAACTAAATACAGTACATATAAACATATATATGTAATCACTAATTTTCATAATTTATCGACGTTGAGCATAAAAATGTTTCCAGAATGGGTGGTACCTTGAGTCACTCATGATGAATGCCTCAATAATTGTGGAGTATGAATGATATTGAGTTCTCTGCCCCATCGAGTACGTAACTTCCCTTCCTGATATATCGCGGCAATTTATGACAAAAATACATCATATAATATCTTATAATATTATTCGATTATTGAAACTGTTAAGGCAGATTAATTGTGACAAGTTTGGGAGTTTAATCTTGAAACGAGCCAGTTAATATATGGTAAATCAATGACCTGGATAAAAGAGTTGTAATCTATTGGTTAATACGTACAGTGCTTGAGACTAGAATGCATATAAATATTTGTATTAACCAAACCTCCACAAGACTCTACTTACGCGTGTATGTACTAATATATATATATATATATATATATATATATATATATATATATATATATATATATATATATATATATATATATATATATATATATATATATATATATATATATATATATATATATATATAAAATCAAACTTCCCATTCCTTTATGTAACTTGTTCCATTCATCGTGTACGGAATGTTTTACTCACACACACACAAACACACTCACTAGATATCCAGTAGCTCCAGAAAACTCTCGTCAATGTTTGGTTCCCACCTGATGCAACTCAGGTTTCCCGGCTGTCAGGGACGTGACCTGATGATAAACACATAAAGCTGCCCCGGGCGGTAAACACTCCACCAACACCTACTTACTCCTGCCATGAGGAGCATGAACGAGAACCACAGACCATGAACCGTGGCTTAAACTTCCCCTGCAGCCTCTGAAGCTTTGTAATGAACCATCACCACTGACCTGAAGGTTGAGGAATAAAGATACAAAACCTTCACCTTGAACCATGAACCTTTGGCTCGAAAACTTCACAAGGTAACCACGACTGCTTCAACATGAGATCTGTCCTAGTACTCAAGGAAGGTGTTCATGAGCTATTCTACATGAAGCATCAGACTCAGACCAAGATTAGCAGAACGTATCACGGTACCTTAAAGCCAATGGCCGTGATGCCAGTTTTATGATTGTTGACCTTGAAACGAACAACCCATAAACACACATTCCATATAACGTTTGATAAAACTCTCTCTCTCCTAGTCGGTACCCCATCTCCCCCCTCCCTCCCTCACACACGACCAACACGTGAAGTACTGTACATCTCTCGACCAACAGTAAGACAGGGTTTACAGACAGTCGACACAGTAATAAACAAGACCTCACTCGTGTGTTGACGTCTCGGGCGTTTGTTAGTGTTTGTACCGGCACTAGAGGGAGTGTTTGTTTGTTTGTGTGTGTGGGAGGGGGGGGTGGGGGTTGATTGTTGTCGGTTGCCTATTTGTTTACATGTTTCTTTGGGGTTGTCTTTGCAGAGGCAGTCCCTAACCGTGACTGCACTATCAGCTAACACTATATCCACTGCACTATCTACACTACAGCCACTACATAATCTTCACTGTCTCCACTTCACTATCCTTGACTGATATGAGACGCACATAGAAAAAATAACTAATGCGGGGGTCCACATATACCTGGATCACGCGCACCTACAGTGATTTACTTGCATATATATATATATATATATATATATATATATATATATATATATATATATATATATATATATATATATATATATATATATATATATATATATATATATATATATATATATATATATATATATATATATATATATATATATATATATATATATATATATATATATATATATATGTATATATATTTGCAAGTATCTACTAAGTCGTTCCCGAATGAAGAATAAGTTAATTAAGTGAAGAAAGGTAACCGCCCAGCTCTCTTATGTAAGATTCTACCGTCGACGACCCAACACCTATGTTGGACACATTTGCAAGAAAGATTTTGTGTGCTTCCTTCGCCCTGAGGCAAAAGTGCAGCAGATGTCTTTATTTCGTTAAAAAAAAATAAAAAAATAAGAAACAAAAATAGTTGAATTTCAAAGCAGGAACCTTCAAACGCTGCTCTTGTGGCGTTGCAGACAACAGGACTTGATAAAAGGAAGAAGCTGAATAGAGACTAGACTAAAGTAAGACAATAAACTTGTGGGAGGTACCGTGTCTTCCCTGGCTGGAAAGGTGTGAGGGATCTTTACTGGCAACTGTTGTCTTCACCACAAGTCTAAGACAATGGATGAAAAATGAAACTGTACGAAGACGTTTTTTAACTAGACATTTTATTGCACACATATGTTTTACGGTTAATAGATTATAAATGGAACTTTTCCTAACCGCGCCTTTTGGTTTAAGATCGTAGACTAGTTTTTTCAACAAACCTAAAGTATCTTAGGTTATGGTAGGTTCGGTTAGGTTAGTTAAAACGAAAGATTAACTTACGATATATAATACAAAAAAATAGTGGTTATAACGGAAAAGTACCTAATAAATAAATCTCTGAACATGGTGGAATTAAGGATCAGCTTTCAATATTCGTTACTGTTGTCTAGCTAGGAGTGATATCCGTTAGCAGTGGGATGTTCTAATGAAATATTCCGAGGTCGATGGAAGTATATTGAGCCAG